GTCAGTTGCTGCTCTAATTTGCAGCAAGAAACGACCAAGAATGAAGTTAGGAAATAAAGCTTCTCTTGGGAGCATTAAGAGTTCAATGCAGCTTCTTTATTTTCCGGTGTTCCCACTCGAACCCTTGTAATGGTGTTTATTAATGGAAATGGGGTTTTCTGGCCTCTTGTTTAGAAAGTCTACCACTTGAGTTCAATGTTTTGATTTTAACCATAACATGTTGTAGAAAATTATCTTCTGTAAACAAGGAACTACACCTAAAAACATGAGACGGTGTCAACTCACATAAAATTAAACCTGCCTTCTGCAACTTGATTTAAGAACATAAATAGTCATCTCAGATACCGAGAGTCAGGATAAATAGGTATTGGTAGCTAATTGGTTGTAAATGTTGAGGGTGTTGATTGGACCGTCATTTGTCTAAGTACGGAAAAAATCACCGCACAACAAAGGACCATCAAATCAACTCAATTGAAATCTACTCCATTCTAAAATATAAGATGTTTTGGTAGGTACTCATAGGAAACTACAAACTTATAGTTGTTGCAGAGTAAATTGCTCAAAGCCACCACATTTGTGGCTAGGGTACTCCAAAACCACCGCTTTTGCCAAAAATCACAAAATACCACCACTTCCGCGGCAAGTGAGTAACAAATCGCACTAATTTTGAACTCAGCCACGTCTAACAGCAAAACTGACGGGTGGGGCCTGTCTGTCGGGCTGATGTGGCAAAGACTAGTCCAAGTCAATAGGTTGACCTGCTGAGGTGGACGGAGTCCCACCTGTGAGCCACACATCTTATTTCCCCCTATCCTTCTTCTTCTTCCTCGCATGTAGTCTGCTCCGGCGACCTCAAATCCCAGTCAGCTCGTGACCTCGCCCCTGTCCCGAGAGGAGTCGCCGCACCAGCCACAAGGGCACCGCTCGCCGCCCTATTCCCCCACACCTCCTCCTTTCTTTTCTCTCCCCTTGCTCGGGCTCTGCTGCAGCCGACCGCCGCCGGGGCTCCTGCTCGAGCCAGTCGCCCCGCGCCGGCGTGGCCCCGACAACCCTGGATGCGCCGCCCCTTGTCCCCGCATGACCACCCCAGCCAGCCCGCGAGGCATCCAGGGCCACGACCTTGAGCTAAGGGTGCGGGCGTGGGGCGGCAGGGGGCGGGGGCGACGGCGCCGTAGGTGCGGGGGCGGGGCGACGATGCTGCAGGTGCGGGGACGGGGCGGAGGCGCTGCAGGTGCGGGTTCGAGATGGGGACGGCGGCCCGGCGGGTGCGGGTGCGAGGCGTCGACGCTACAGGTGCGAAAGCGGGATGGCTGCGGGCGGGCGCGGACGCGGGATGGTGGTGGGCGGGGACGACGGCGCTACGGGTGTAGACGCGGGATGGCGTCGCTGCAGGTGCGAATCAGCGGCGCGCAGGCACGGTCGCGGAAATGGCAACAGCGGTGGGGCAACGGCGTTGGGGGAGCGGGGCGAGGCTTGCCGGCTAGCGCGAGGCGACGGCGCTGCAAGGCAGGCTTGCCGGCGGGCACGCCTCTTGAGTGCAGCCTCTGACCGCCGGTGGAGTTGGTGAGAAGGGGAGAGAGAAAATTGAGGAGGAAGAAGAAGGTGTGAGACAGACAAGTGGGACCCCTATCCACCTCAGCAGGTAGAACATTGACTAGTACTAGTCTTCGCCACATCAGCTCAGACATGTGGGTCCTATCCGTCAGTTTTGCTATTAACGCCGCTCAGTATTGAATTAGTGCATTTTGTTATTCACCTGGCGCAGAAGTGGTGGTCTTTTGTGATTTTTGGCAAAAGCGGTAGTTTTGGAGTATCCTAGCCACAAATGTGGTGGCTTTGAGCAATTTACTCGTTGTTGCACATGACTTGAAAGGGACCGAGTGTACAAAATGGACTTCGCTGCGAACCTAGTTGAGCTACTGATCCTCTGAAGATTGATCTACTACCCACAGCAAAACACAAATGGTAAAAAATGTTGTCATGTCTTAACACTAACAAGGCGGTGGACCAATGAAGTGATGAATTGGATCATCTGGAGTTGACTGCTACACCATAATAACTTGAATAGTCTGTAATATTAGTTCATCGTTGCCTCTTTCTGGATACTGCGTTGCGTCTCTCTGTTGTTGGAAGTTCGTTTCCCACCCCCTCAAGCATTACTGCATTGCATACATCTATTCTGTTGTTCCATGATTGCCTATCCAGTCAGCCAGTTATTTCGTTGTTCCATGATAGTTAGGTAGCACAATTTAATCATTCGCTCATCACTACACCCATCCTGTTGGAGCGTGTACACGACTTAGGCCCCTCCCCTCCCCTCGTCCCCCTTGTGTCGCCCCCGCGGGACCCAGGGGGAACCTAGCCGCCGTCCCCCTCGTCCCTCCTCTGCCTCCACCTCTCCTTGCCGCCGCCCGCTTCGCCGCCGGGCAAAGCTTGGCCGGGTGGGCGGCGGCGGGGCATCTCTCCCCCTTGGAGCGTCTTGGGCGGTGTGGGACAACCAGATCGCGAAGAAGCGTCGGGCTAACGGGGGTCTGGCGGCGTGGCGGGCGAGCATCTTGGCGGCGGCGAGGTAGCTGCGGCTTGGATGCGACTCCACGGCGAGGTGGTGGCTGCGTGGTCTTCAGATCGGGTGGTCGCGGGCGCCGCCATGTTCAGGCCGGATCCATCTGGATCTGGCGCTTGGATGTTGTCGGCCGGCGCAAGGTGGTGGTCTACGCCGCTGGCCTCGTCGGATCGTGGATCCGGCGCCTGGAGATCTACGGCGGCTGTCCTTCTTGATCCTCCTTCCTGGTGGGTTGAGCCCCATGGCACTTGCATCTCTGCTGGTCTCGGTTCGTCTCGCTGTCGGATCCGGAACAGACGGAGGTTTAGTGGTATAGGTTGGGGACCGAAGGAAACTTTGGTCGGTTGGTCCAGCCCGGCATCGGCGGCGTCCTACAACGCCGTTACCCTCCTTGGAGGCGAAGTCGAGGTCCCTCCTATCCACATCCGAACCCCTCCTAGACAAAAGTCCAAAATTCAATTTGGATTGGGCGGCGGCGGCGCCCTGCGCGTTGTAACCTCGATGGGGGCGCCGTCTTGGGAGGCTCAGATGGTCGGGCGAGAGATGCTATGGTGGTGGGCGCCGCGTAGCTCCAGCAGCAGCACGGTGTGAGCTTCGGGGGAAACCCTAGATCTGGGTCTATCGGATTGGGCGATGATGGCACCTTCGATGTCGTTGTCCCTCCTGGTGGCATCGTTTTGGAGCACGCGCTGGCTGGAGGAGACAAGAGGAGGAGTGGTGTTACATCTACCGTGGGGCCGACGACGGATCCTGGCGGCATGGCGCCATGGAGTTCAGCGATGGGCGCGTTTGGAGATGGACTCGCGCAGGAGGAGGAAGCTATCTGGCGTCATGGTGACGTTGATGGCAGAGAGGCCTGGCAAGGTCAGTGCAATAGTTTTGCTCTGAGGATGGACCGAGAGATGATGGAGGTGACGGCCCTTGCAGCGTGCGGTGCTCACTGGAAGTGTGTCTAACTGGTGTGGGACCCAATCCAGGTAGTGGCTTGGAGGGGACACCCGGCTTTAGATGTTAGGCTTTAGTGCGATGTCTGTTTGGTATTAGGTCCGAACATTCGGCACGCCTTCATCAAGGGGATAGGAGTAGCAACGGTGTTGCCAAGATGATGGCTTCAAGCTTATTGATATATCACCTTATATGGTCATCGTGAATAATTAATAATATGGCTGCATGCATCGTCCAGATGCAGAGGCCGGAGGTACATCCTCCTTTTCTAAAAAGACTATACCCATCCTGAAGCAGCATTGCAAGACAAAATTATTAGCAAATGAAATTGAGTAAATAAGTATTTGAATACTTGAGTGTGCATTTTCACTCAGTATATGTATGTACAAGATTATTAGCAAATGAAATTGAGTAAATAAGTATTTGAATACTTGAGCGTGCATTTTTCTTTCAGTATATGTGTACTGTTGCTCCAATGCTGCCTGCCAGAGTGGACTGGGATGTGGATTCTGGGCGTCGGAGCCCGTGTCCCAAGCCGCAACGACCATGGTGACCTGCTCGCCAGGGTGGTCATCGACGGAGAAGGGCACAACGGTGCTGCAGGACAGAGAAGATGACACAGGTGGAGGGCCAATGAACAACGAACACCCGGTCCATACCTGATTACTACTTGTAACATGCCCCTTTATATATGCGAACAAATGAAAAGGAAACTGTACAAGGTACTTTATCAAGAAATTTTGGTCTGCGAAAAAAAATGTCCCGTCGACAAATATAATTAGTTTGAGCAAAGTTGGACCAGAAAACAACCCTGGGCTTATCTGCTATGGACAGAAAGCTCAGAAACAGGAAACAAAAAATAAATTTGAGCATATAGCTAACAAGCTTCCTAAATATTTTGCACAGCTTAGATGGAAGGGGCACAACGGCTTTGCCAGAAGAGATAAATCAAAGGATGTGTTCTGACAACTCAATACAAACAAAAATGTCACAATACAGACGTATGGAACATGGGTAAAACCCCTCGGTACAAACCCTCGAGGAAAGAAAAATCATCACATCCCTCGGTACTCAGACTTCACAATAAAGCTCTACGCTCGGAACAACTGTGATACCCGTCATGCATGCAGGCAACAGAAGAGGCTCATTTGATTGGATCATGTCCTCCTCAGAACAGTTCTCCCCTTTGCTTACTAACTTTCCAGCCAGATGTCGTTCATGCCATGATGATGAAGGCACATCTGCATGATCACATTCACGAGGAACGGACGCCAGGAATAGGCGTGTCGATGGTGATTGCAGTGGTGATATTTGTGTGGAAGAGAGAAACTATGAAGCAGCGGTGATGGCCGGGAAAGAAAAGGAAAGCTCTATTCACATTAAACATGGAACCGAAATCGAACCCCATGTCCCTAAACTGTCCCCTGCTTGGTACTGGCTTGCGACTCATCCTCTTTCTAGAATGATGACTCAGACCTTCTGCTCCAGAGTTCTACTCATTTGTACTATCGAAGCTGCCCCGAGCATTCGGCCATTTCCTCTCTCTAGAATTCTCACCCCATGTCTTAGCCTCTGCAATAGCACGCTGCCTCTCAGAGGTCCTTGAAGTTTCCCTCCTCTTTCCTGCCTGAGCAGGACTACCCTGTTGTGAACCTGTCACATCCCTATCATCCAAGCCTGATCGTCTACCAGAACCACCACCAGAACTATTCCTGCTAACCTCGGCTTCATACTTCGATGTTGTTGTGGCTTCTTTTCTCCTCAGATCTGGAGAATGGTGATTTGGCGACCGGATACGCCGCTGGTCGCCGTTCACACTACCACGGTCTCTGGCTCTGGGGGTAGATGCATTGCTCCGACTATGTTGAGTGGGTGCATTTGGATCATACGCCTGAGAAGCAAGATATGAAAGAGCAGTGACCACATCTCCTATGAAAGGCCGAGTGGCAGCTTGCTCTTGCAAACACATTGCAGCAACGGCTAAAGCTTGATACAGACCCCTCATAGGAAAGCGGCCCTGAAGTGCCGGATCAGCCATTTTTGGAAATTTTCTGCGGTCTTTGAACAGAGGACGAGCCTGCATATCAGATCAACTATAAGGCATCCAACATTATACAATGAGTGAGCTGCAATAGTTGGCAGGAAATATATACTTTCTGTTTGTATACATTGATCAAACCTTAGAAAAAACTAGGAGATGTACATGAACTGTGCAAGCTTTGTTAAATATATAATATTCAATCCCCTCATACAGTAGCACCAAATTAGGAATTCCTATTCGATCTTTTGGAAAGTTGTGAACTTAGCATACATTCGCATTCATAGTAATATTTAAAAAATAATATGACCACTCACATTGTACTATAATATTTCTCCATAATTCGAAAAGAGTGGTTGCGAAGGCTGTTTAGTATGGTGTTATTAGAGGATTAATTGTTCGATTAAGCAATAACATTCAAGGATCCAACTTATTTGTTGAATCATAAGATCAGACTGGATGGCTAAGATTGTTTGTGTCAAACCCTCGTTCTTCTCTATGTAGTATAGATATGGATAGCCTTATTTTTTAGTGCATTCTCTTTTACAACAGCGATGTGTGAAATTGAGAATGACGTGGATCGATAAATATACGAGGAACTAATCTCAGTGGTCAGTACTGAAGGCAGCAATTTCACTAGTGTTCAAGAATCATGCCAAGCCTAAGCAACTGAACAGCCACCCCATTTGTAAGTAACATAACCTTAATACATTAAATAACTCCATCATGGTATCATACTATGATGATAGCTTTCGGAGACAGCGTTCAAGAAAAATTAAGAGCAGTGGTGTACGAAGTAACAGTGAATAGCAGTCTATAATAAAAATTTCAGAGTTCAAAAGGATAATATGATCTGCGAAGGAAATAGAAAATGAAAGTCCCTCAAGTGATAGTAATTCATCAAAGCAAATAAAAGAAAGAAAGGGTCCCTAAAACATTCCTGATTTGGTGGCAACAGCTTAAACAATTTCTCTTTATGTTTCTTCGGACTGTTTTATTTTTCGGACTAGTGCTACAGCTAAATCTTAGTCCAATTATATTGCTAGTATCTCAAAGTATTTTTAGCAACGCTATTATAGAAATTATGCTTAGCTCGTGGAATGTGCAAGAACATGAGCTATGAACAATATATTGATGGCAAACATCAATTTTGTGAAGTAAAATTAGTACAGAATAGAAGAACATACCCACGCCACTAGGTTTTGCTCTCCATGTGGTTTGGTGTTGTCAATTGCTTTACGACCAGTAATCAGTTCAAGGAACACAACACCAAAGCTATACACATCAGATTTAACTGTAAGCTGTCCAGTCATTGCATACTCTGGGGCACAGTAGCCATAAGTTCCCATAACACGAGTTGAAACATGGGTTTTATCACCGACAGGGCCAAGTTTTGCAAGGCCAAAGTCAGATAGCTTTGGATGAAACTCTTCGCCAAGAAGAATGTTTGACGACTTGAAATCCCGGTAAATAACAGGAGGACTTGCCTTGTCATGCAAGTATTCTAATCCCTTGGCAGCACCAGCAGCAATCTTCATCCGTGTATTCCAGTCAAGAGGTTCCTTTTCAGGTGGAATGTCTAACATAAAAAGATTCAAATTAGATAGGCAAGCTGCCTTTGAAATGCATTGAACATATGCAATGAGCCCACAAATATTCATTATTCTACGGCAATGAAAATAATTAGACAATAATGGCGTGCAACAGCATTAAAATTTACCACCTAAAAAGAGGGTAACTGAGATATGTTTAAATTAGTAAATGGGGATTGCAAGGGACTATAAATTTTCCATTAAACAAAAAAAATCAAAAGTAGTAGGCAACAAGAAGCAGATCCATACATCTGACTCCGCGGAGCATCTGGATATAGATATAGGTGGTTGTTTGAGAAATCATGTTTACATCTACTATGAATCAATTCAGAAGTTCCAGTGATTGATCTATTTTCTTAACACTTGCCACATGCCACATGCTATTTTCTTAACACTTGCCACATGCTGCCTGTTACAAAAACAATGACTTCTTCATGTAATTGCATAAATATGCAAATGCATATTAGCAATTATAATCAGCCACTTAGCACGTGATGCAATTGCTAGTTATGCCGCATAATCATGTCAACCACCCTATAGTACTTACTAGGCGGGTGACTGAACGAATACTGGTTTCAATTTTAGCATCTTGCAAAGTATTACTCCCTCCCTTCACAAATATAAGATGTTCTAACATTTTTCTGATTCGGATGTATATAGACCCATTTTAGTGTGTTTGTTCATCCATTTCAGTCCGTATGTAGTCCATATTGAAATATCTAAAACATCTTATATTTATGAACGGAAGGAGTGCCGTTTAGTCTATTGTCGTATAAACCACATTGAATCAACGTACACAATGTAAATGTCTTCTAAACTACTTTGGGCATCTTCTGCCGGATCAGTGCATGGAGTTCCTGTGGTGGCCATGAGCGGCTAGATCCGGAGGAAGCCACTACGATTTTCAAGCAACGTCAACACTTCTATTTCTCAGGTGAAAACCCGTGATCAGCCTTCACAGGTCGGATCCAGTAAGGGCGCATGTGTGTCGTCTCGTTGTCGAGGCATTGTCTCCGTGCCAAATATCTGACCTTGAGTGATTGGACTTGGTTCCAGGATGAAAATGCCCGGTCTGGCCTTGAACGGTTGGTTCCGACTTCCTACAACATTGCTCCTGTGTGTAATCTCCTTGAAGGCATTGTTTCCGAAGAATGTCGACTTGGTCGTAAATGTTTTTTTTCCTACCTTTACTTGCCAGTTTATGTAATCTGTTTTGGACTCAATGCCTGGCATCTTTATTAATAAAAAATGCATGTGTGCATCCGAGGATGCCAAATTTAACCTTCCTTTCAGAAAAAAAATACTCCCAAGTATGCATGCCAAAAGAAGAAATAATGCACTCAAAGTTAATGGTTGCGTACATCAATTTAGCATACTACCATGCAACAAAAAGAGAAGCGAGTTGACTTTGCAAGATCATAATGCCCAGTAAACCGAGTCAGGATCAGACATATAATATTTTCCTTTCTGATTTACAACTGGAAATATTAACCATGTATCAACTGTCATTATATAATATATTTGCAGGTTATCCCAGACATACCATCAACCAGAGACAGAATGAATTGACGAACTAAAGTTGAAATACCAGTGTGCATGAATATGTTCTGTACAACAAATGAAAAATAAGACTTCTGCAAGAAATGGCGCATATGCTAGCTTCCCATTGATATACAACAAAATTTCAACTTTAGTATGCAAACAATTTGACCTTTAACTAAGCTTTAGAACTTTTGCCTCACTGAGCTTCCACTCTCTTGATTAAATATGAGTTGCTAACTAGGTAACCACTAAAACTCTACAGGATTACCTTCCCATGAGATACAGCAAAACTTAGCTTTTGGTATGCAGATCAATTCACTCACTGATTAAGTACGAGTTCAACAACATACATATCAAAACTGTTGAATATATGACCAGTCGACCAGATCAACAACCGCAGAAGAATAATGCAAGTACGCAGCTGCAAGCTTAAGCAAGTACTCCCTCCATATCAAAATATAAGACGTTTTTGCAATTCAATTTGAGCTGCAAAAACATCTTATATTTTGGTACGGAGGTAGTATTAACTAGTACTCCATGTGTTCACTTTAAAACCTTGGCCTAACACGCACAATTGTTGGACTTGGATTTGTCATGACAAAAAGATATTACCAAAGTTGTTAGGTGTATTGATGTTATCATTGAAATAGAAACCGTGACATTATAGAAAAATTAATGGTTAAAAGGCGAGAATCGGTAACAAAGAAGCAATCCAGACAGTGGTTAGCTTATTGCTCAACTGTTTACCAAGAATAAAAATGTGACATTTACAATGCACAAAGTCTTTTGAATACATGGATGTGGAGTTGTATGTAGGCAGTAATGCACTTACAGAAGTTCATAAGTGAAGTACACTTACCGTGCAAATGATCCTCAAGTGATCCTAGCGGCATATATTCATATACAAGAAGACGTTGATCCCCATCAGCACAGTATCCAATTAGGTTTACCAAGTTATCGTGGTGCAATAGACTGAGCATAAGGACCTCAACCAGAAACTCTCTGTTACCTTGAAGTCCATTGCGATCAAGTTGCTTAACTGCAACAGCCTGCACAGTAGACAATATAATCAAGTTGTGATCAAGAACTCAGCAATGAAGAGTTACAACAAGGAAAATGTCTTCTCCAATGCCCAATCTAGACCATATAACAAGGAATTTTTCAACCCCAGTTTAAAAGAGATGTGGCAGTCATATTGGCAGTTCAACGAGTGGAATTAATATCTGAAAATGAGGATTCACACCAAATATGAATGCATCAAAACATTAAACCAAACCTGTCCATTGTCCAAACGTCCTCTATATACACGGCCGAAACCTCCCTCGCCCAATAGGCAATCCTGTCTGAAGTTCTTAGTGGCAGCAGCAAGCTCACGAAAAGTGAATGTGTGTGCTGCAATATGTTGATTGTTTCCCTCCCTTGGGATAACTGTATCCTTCTTAGAGTCCAATAAACCTTGTGGTTTTGGTTTATCTAAAGCAAAAGTACATCCAGAGTTAGGGGTCGTATGAATTAAAGAATGCAACATAGGTAAGGTGAACTACTCTCAAAACACAATAATTAAAATGGTAAAACTGGCCATAGACCATGTGCAATTGTGCAACTGGTTTGAACGCTTGCCTTTGTATCCGAAAGCACAACTTGATTCCTTTCAAAACTTTAATACCATGACTCCAAATATACTTCTATATATACATAAACATGATTGGTAGGAACTGAGCTCAGTTGGTCGCAAGTGTGGTTGTGCACATTCAGCATCCAATTTCGAATCCTCTTCAATTTGAATTGGTTGCCTATTTTCTTCAATAACGGAAAAACTGTGTGTTTCCTTCTAAGTAACTTTGCTTTTCGATATAGAAGATTAACATAACAACCCTAATGTGTATGTAACTATGTATGACTGGTCTTTGTCATCAAAACATGTAGTGACAAACTAAATCTTTATTCCTCCCCTGCTTAATTGAAAATTCCTAGCCTCTTAGAGCAAATATGGTGTCAACTATTAACATCATTTAACTCTTAACAATAGGTATCAAAAAGGAAGAAACTAAGGTTATTGATGCTTTGGCCAAGAGAAACCTAAGATCCAAATTCAACTTGCCAAAAAAATCTAGATTTGTCCTAGGCCTTCAACTTACCATAAAATCAACAATGTTCCTGTGGCCTGGTATTTGTCTTGGTAAAAGAAAAGAGACACATTGTCCTAGAGAATGTGTAATGGCGTAAATAGTTTACTATTTGGGGTGAAGTGCCTAGTACCATTTAATCCAGTCACTAATGGAGGTAATAAAAAAAATCACAGGCTTGCAAGCAAAGTCTGGGTGTTGCGATAGTTAAGACATAACTATGACAGAAAAACCACAAAAGAACTTAGCTAAGTGTCCCAAAATGCATTAGAAATTAGGGCCATCACAAACCAGGACTTCTTGGATAGTTTTGTGGTAAGTTTATCATAGTGAGATGAAAGTAACTACTCCATCTGTAAACTAATATAGTGAGAGGGAGTATCATCTAACACTTCTTTGATACAGTTTGGATGTTGTACCAGGACCATCTACATTTGTTCAAAATAAACATTGGTGTCCAATTTATTTGTCAGCGGAATTAAGAGGACGAGTCAAATAGAAAGAATGCTTTTAAAGGTCAACATTTAACCGTACGAAATGAACATAAAAGCGCTTCCTAAAGGGAGCTAAACCTCAGTTATTCATCCTTTTTATTTTATAGTCCCTAGGGGGACTGCAAGTACTTCTAATTAAGCATCTTAACTCTCAACAGATGTCCTGCCAGACAGTTTATAAGGCAGACACATTCAGACATCCGCATCATACGACACTTCCGTCACTCTACCGAGTTGGAAATTGCAAGCATCATAAAATAACCACATATTAGTCCATGAACATATAGTCAAAGTGCATCACTTCTATAATTTATAAGTTTCCAGAAGCAATAAATCTATATAGCCGATCCAAAAACATTACTCTTAGACTCCTCAAAAAGGCATATAGATACCGCAACCATTCATGCCATCAAATGCACTAACATGAATAGAAATCCCCCTAGTACTACATGACGTTGCTCTCTATCTGAAGCTTCCAGTACATGGAATAGGTGTTAAAAAGATTTCCGAAGACAAGGGAGATTGGCGCATTTCTTAATCTGGTCCACTCAAATCTTGGCACTGTGAGCATCAGCTGACTAAACCGGGGGAAATTAATGACCATTTCCAAAAAAAAAAAAAAAAACCAGCCCAAGATCCAGCCTTCCGCCCAAGAATCACACCTGATCCGACCCCGGTGGCGCGGCGATCCGACGGAACGTCCTTCCGCGCGCCGCCCTTCTTGGCGGGCTCCCCCTTGCCGCTCGACCCAAAGCACGGCAGGCACCCCATCCAAGAACCTCCCCTCCAGGAAAAAGATCAAGAAAAGGACGGCGGGGACCGACCCACCAGAGGAAACGGGGATCCCTCCCCGATCTGGGGGCGGAGGCCCTCTGAAAATCCGATCTTTGGAGGATGTGGAGGGATTTGGATGGGATTTGGGAGCGGTGGGTCGGGGAATTTGGGGGGAGGGACAGGGACAGAACTATTGGGAGAACGGGCAAGAGAGAGAAAGCGAGGAGAGAGAACAGGATGTCCGAGGTCCGAGGGCAAAAGTCAGCTCATGGCCGACTGAGGAGTGAGGAGAGAGAGAGAGAGCGGGGAGGATCTCTGTGGATTGTGGCATGCACTATCCCTCCCCGATTCGCAAATTTGAATTGCTGGTTTTTTTTCATCCGCAAGTTTTGTTTTTAGAGTGACTCTAGCAGACCCCGCATCCCACCGACCCGCAAAATTCATTTACAGTTCGCGTAAAATCATTTTTGTGGGCCGGCGCGGGCTGGCACCGATGTAGACCCCGCATAAGGGACCCGTAAAAAAGCATATTCACGGAATATACTTTTTTACGGGTTGGTTTCTGCGGGTTCTGATCTGGCGCAGCTCGTCCCGACCCGTAAAAACTTAGATTGATCTAGCATAATGCTTTTCTTTGCTTTTGCAACAACATTAGGTATAAAATATATCACCAAATCTTAGCTAGAATAGCAAAACCAAAGAAAATAAGAACCACAAGTATGCATTTCAAAAGATTTCCAACTTCCATAACTACTCCCACTAGTTGAAGCAATATCTTCTCCATGCACTCATTGTTGATCTGCGGATTCTTGATCTTGCTTTGTTCATTCTTGATGCTTTCTTCATTATTTATCTTTGATTTCAAAGAAGTAGGCGTTGCTTCCCCTTCAGTTGCACATGCAGCCGCATCATTGTCTTCGATTGTACTAAGGAGTGCACTAACATCTATTAAGTTTCATTCTATCAACAAATCAATGTATTAGCCTTCCCAAAACCAAAATAAGCATCCATCATCTTACACAAAAGATTGAGCGAGCTCGAAGGGAGCTACCGTACTTGAACTAAAGAATAAGCTATGGAACGAGCTACCGCAAGTGCACGTACCCCGTCGTTTTCGCATTTGTTGAACACCCATCTGGGGTGCTTCGGCGTGCCCGAAATGAGCCGCAGCACTTGGCGTGGGCAGTCGTCGCACTATATGAGTGGCATCGGCAGGCCACAAAGACGTTGCGCGAGCGCCAAGCCCGGCGGCCGGACGAGTCCATGCCCGCAAACCTTCGGCGGTGGCGGGCGGACGAACCCACGCTTGCATGCGGCGATGCGCCCTTGCCTGGGCTGCGGGAGAGGCTCCCCGACCACTCCATCGCCTGGGCCAGCAACCGACGGCAGGAAAAAGACAAATCTAGCGGCCTACGATGAAGTGCCGCAGATCTGCAAATTCGACGGCCCGCCGACGCAGGGGGGAAGAGAAGGGAGGCCTCGTGTGCGTGGAGGCCTTCCGGCGTGTTCCTGCCGGCTACTGTCACCAAAATCTTGGGCGGTCGGCGGCGGCGCGAGGGGGGAGGAGGAGTGGTTGGTGGGAGAAAGCGCGGGATGAAATGTCCCTCCCCCACCAACCGCTTCCGCTAATATGCAGGGCACCGCAGCCACGGGGGGGAAACCCGTGTTTTCTCGGGTTGGGGTCGGGATTTTGCCGCGCCCCCTAAATTTTTTTGCGGGGCGGCGCGGGATGCGGGGTCTGATCGGGTTGCTTTTTCGCACCGACCCGCATTTTGGCGGTTATTTTACGGGGCGGGGCGGGATGCGGGGTCTGCTAGAGTTGCTCTTAGCCTGGTAATCCCTCCATTCAAATGAATAAGATGAGCACGTTTTCCAAAATTTAACTTTGATAAATAATTGAATCATTATATATATATATAGGACAAATGTTTCCTACGAGCAGTGGTAGTTACCACTACTTGCGTTTTGTATGTTGTATGTAGTATCTGTCGAAATCGAGAGCATGTACGTGTAGTATGTAGTATATAATAATGATTAGATAGTATATATACAAATTTTTAGATAGTATGTACCATTTTTTGAGTATGCTCTTTTTTACGTACAAATATGTACGTATTTCACAAATATAACAAAAACTATGGGCTCATGTGCAATTTTTTCATGTAACTTGTTTTGAAATATCTTAGATATAGTATATGAACATATTTAAAATAATAAAATAGTATATATAGTACCACATGCTAGTATATGAGACATGTGGGGTAACTACCACTGGGTGGTAGGACGGATTTTCCCTATATATACTCCTAATGGACGAGTTGGTTGAATAGTCCCACCACTTTCGTCTGGGTTTTTTTTCGGCCCACCCCTCCCACCGTTTTTTCTCTTTTCTCGTATGGCCGGCAATACCCAACGTATTTATGGTAATCAATCACAATTAATCCATGTATAGTAATAAATCAATCCAGGTATGGTAAGGCCATAACTCAGGAAATTTTGAATATGGTAATTATATGGTAATAAATTTAAATTATCCAGAAGGCTATCAATCCAGGTATGGTAAGGCCATAACTCGGAAAATATTGAATATGGTAATAAATTTAAATTACCATCAGGTATGGTAAGGCTATCAATCCAGGTATGGCACGCCCTCACGTGATCACCTATCACAATCTCTAGCCCGACGCACGCACCAAAGAAACCCACCCGGCACCAAACACAGCTCCTCTCGATCCCCTCGAGTAAACGCCGCCACCATCTTGCGATCTTCCTGACACAGACGCCGCCGCCGCCTCCTTCCCACGTACGGCGTCCCCCACGTCCATGGTGACGGCGCCCACGTCCTACACCGACCCTCCCCCTCATATAGGTTGGTTGTAGATGGAGTGGGACGTGTCGCTGCGGTTTGGGGAGCCGCAATCACGATCTGGTTGGGATCTCAGTGTGGACTCATTCTCTGCGATGAAGGATGCCGCTGCCTCCCTGGCAAATGGGATCAGAGGAAGGGGCTCTATGTCGTGAATGTCGGCGAGGCAGCGGCCGAAGGCGAACCCGGCGGTGAGCACGGGTGTTCGTCCATGAAATAGGCGGTCGCAGAGGCCGCATCTGAGGCCACCCCAATCGTCGGTGGCCCTTCCTCCCGTCGCTCATCGCCTCCATTCTCTCTCTCCTCTAAATCTTCGTCGCCCTACCTCTAATTCTGGCCGACGCCATCCGGCTCTCGCATCGGCCACCACCAGCACGGCTGCGGACGAGGCGCAACCGCAGACGTCGCCGTCGCCGTCGCCATCCTCATCCACCTCCTCCACCATCCTTCTGAGCCATTGTCGAGGGCACCCGCCATTTGCACTCTAGCCCACCCGCTCCCTCCTATCCTCTCCCCCTGCCTACCAGCCCCGCGATCCATCACACAGATGGTAGGTACTGCAGCGACCTCCTCCCCAGTGAATCCGGCCTCCTCCGATGGAGATCCATCCCGAGCACCACCTTATTCTCCTGCGTGCACGTCTATATCAACGTCTCATTCCACCTCACCTGAGCCTTTACCTTCCCACCTCTGCTTCAGATCGACATCACTTTGCAAGGTATGTGCTTGATTGTTCCGAACTGGATCGATGGATTGTGCAAGGTACTTTGGGTGTCGTCATTGATGGCAATCGTCACGCCATGCTACCATCGGAGGGCTCCCGCATCGATGATTAGGGTCTTCCGAACTGCACGAGCTCCATTGAGAAGGATGTTTTTAATTCTGGTTTTGCCTACATGCTTTCTTTGCCTGTGTCTACCTAGCTAATGTCTTCTTATAGATAGTAGCTGCTGAAGTGGTGATCAAAGTTGTTCACTATAAGGAAACAACCATGATAACAAAAGTATATATTCCCTAACCTTTGACCTGAAGTACTTTTTCATTAGAAACTTGCAACAGCCAGGCATTGAAATTAGCAACAGCTTCGTACGTACTGAAATAATTTGCAGCAGCACGTACTAAACTACCCCGCTATGGACTACACATATTTAAGAACGGATGGATTAAAACTCTAGCAAACAGAAAACATGATCTCCTCTTCCAGTAAGCCAGTGGTAACCATCTTTGTCCCTGATTTACTGGACTGCTTAGTGCTTACAGAAGTAAGCTTGTTACTTTTTTTGTGATGTCTTGCAGATATGTACAATATGTCATGGGAAGATTGCAGGAACTTTTGAACCGGTCGTCCAGCAGTAGGTTCGTACTTCCTACCAGCATGATGGTCTGTTATGTTTGCTTCACTTACTACTTGTTCGATTAGAATCGTATTGGTGTCGTTGTGTCCAGGATACGAGTGAATTTTTGTGCACTTGGGCTGTTAGGCATGAAATGCGGGCAGTTTACGCACTGCGGCCTAAAGATTCCTTCAGGTTCACCAGAAATGACTACAAACTTATTTAATTCTATAGGTGCAGGTGATGTCGGTTGATGGCAGCCTAACCATGAGTGTAACTGAAAGTGAACCAGGGCGATGTGCAGAAAAAAAATCTTAGCACATAGGCTGAATTTGTATACTACAGATTTATTAGGTAGTACTCCCTCCGTACGTATATCACTTCCGAATACAAGTTCAAGTTATTAGGTAGTACTATTGAATTTCAGGATTGATACTTGAAGATTTTAAAAGGTTACTAAATTTTGTACCAACTCTACTGTTATGTATAGGAAGAACATGCTCTAAAATATTGATAATTCATATGAAAGTGATCAAATTATTAAATCATGCTGCTAATAAGATAAGTTCTTGTCACTTATTTCTTGACAAATTTACATTGTTCAAGTTCTGACTTCATTTGTTGAGCTATTTTAATTTTGTATGAGAGAAATGAAACACTTTATGACTGGTATGTCGAAACTTTGATCAGTTCATTGTGGAATAATGGCGATGATTTGGATTCTTAACTAAACTATGATAGGCTTCCATTTTGGGGGCTCTGATTTGGTTTTATGTGTTTTTTTGTTACCAGGTAGA